GCCCATCATTTTAAATAGGACTTCAGCTTCTTTCAGACATTTCTAACAGTTTCAATGAGTCAACAGTTTCAAGGAATCAACAGTTTTCAAGCAGTTTCAAGATTTCAAGAGTTTCAAGACTTCAACAGTTTTTCAGCATTTTTTTCAAGGACATCAGCAGTTTCAAGGCAGCATTTCAAGGACTTCAGTGTAATCATGCGAACCTAATAGGATTTTTCCATGTAAACCAGTATAATGCAACTTAATAGGATTTTTCCATGTAAACCAGTATAATGCAACTTAATAGGGTTTTTTACATGTAAACCAGTATAATGCAACTTAATAGGGTTTTTCCATGTAAACCAGTATAATGCAACTTAATAGGGTTTTTTCCATGTAAACCAGTACAATGCAACTTAATAGGGATTTTTTCCATGTAAACCAGTATAATGCAACTTAATGGGGATTTTTCCATGTAAACCAGTATAATGCAACTTAATAGGGTTTTTTCATGTAAACCAGTATAATGCAACTTAATAGGGGTTTTTTCCATGTAAACCAGTATAATGCAACTTAATAGGGGTTTTTACATGTAAAACCAGTATAATGCAACTTAATAGGGTTTTTTCCATGTAAACCAGTATAATGCAACTTAATAGGGTTTTTTCCATGTAAACCAGTACAATGCAACTTAATAGGATTTTTTCCATGTAAACCAGTTATAATGCAACTTAATGGGGATTTTTCCATGTAAACCAGTATAATGCAACTTAATGGGGATTTTTCCATGTAAACCAGTATTATGCAACTTAATAGGGATTTTTCCATGTAAACCAGTATAATGCAACTTAATAGGGATTTTTCCATGTAAACCAGTATAATGCAACTTAATGGGGATTTTTCCATGTAAACCAGTATTATGCAACTTAATAGGGGTTTTTACATGTAAACCAGTATAATGGAACTTAATAGGGGTTTTTACATGTAAACCAGTATAATGCAACTTAATAGGATTTTTACATGTAAACCAGTATAATGCAACTTAATAGGGATTTTTTCCATGTAAACCCAGTATAATGCAACTTAATAGGGTTTTTTACATGTAAACCAGTAATAATGCAACTTAATAGGGATTTTTCCATGTAAACCAGTATAATGCAACTTAATAGGGTTTTTTACATGTAAACCAGTATAATGCAACTTAATAGGGGTTTTTTACATGTAAACCAGTATAATGCAACTTAATAGGGTTTTTTACATGTAAACCCAGTATAATGCAACTTAATAGGGGTTTTTACATGTAAACCAGTATAATGGAACTTAATAGGGGTTTTTACATGAAAACCAGTATAAAGGATAACAGTTTAAAGGATATCAGAGCTTCAAATACTTCAGGAGTTTCAAAGATGTTTAAAGTATTTTAACAGTATTATATCAAGGATTTCAAGGATTTTTCAGCTAAATTCCACATTAGATCTGTTCCGGCAGTCAATCGCAATTGCTTCAGCCATTGCAACGGATTTTCTAGTTTATACATATTGTTGCCTGAGACTGTAATGCGGGTTTTCACCAAGTTAGCTAGTTAAAAATCCCCAGCTTTGTAGAAATACGGCCGCATTTTGTGGCAATAACTGCGCATTACCTTGGGTTTTAGCTTTGAGAAACAACAACAGACAACACAACATCCGAAGCCCTTAGCCCAGTCCTCAGCCATCCATAAACTCCGGTCAATTATTAGTTCCCCACATGTACAAAATTAAATGACCATATCACCAGAGTTTCCCCCGTGAAGTGGTGTTAGCATGTAGCGTTTTGCTGTTAGCATTAGCGTTCGCTGTTAGCATTAGTCGTTAGCTGTTAGCATTAGCATTAGCCATGTTAGCACTTAGCTGTCTGTAGTTGACGAATTATGATGTGGCTGCTACAAACACTTCTGATCTGTATGAATCGTTATTTGTTTTTGCCAATAAACATAGTTGCTTGTACTATATATATATATATATATGTAGGTCTGCATTTCATTCTTCAATGACTAAGTTTTGCAACTTGCACATCTGTATATTAGTTTTATTGTTATAAAAAACAATATCTCTTTACCTCAAATCAACTTCCGTGACCACTACATACATTTTTATTATGTATTGAGAGAATAAGTAAGAAAAGATCTTGCTGACTACTACCAAATAAATTATGAGCATGATATAATATAGACCTTGTAATAATTTACATGTTTTCATTGCATTCTTTTCTCTGTATCTTTTCCAGTAAGGCCTAAATCAATTGGAATGAGGTCTTTCAATGTACAAGAGTTCAACAGCCTTCCATAATGCAAGTTAAATAACTATATAAAAAAAAAAAATAGCCAATATCGACTTTAGATACTTTTCTGCTGACCTCTTCTATTCTCTAGTATTGACTGGGAAACAAACTTCTTCCAGACTAGAAGAATGGCCATATGCCATCTCCAGAGGAAGACTTTACACCCGAAACAAAAAAAAAAAAAGGGGGGGGGGGGGGTGAGGGGGGGGGGGGGGGGGGGGGGGGGGGGGGGGGGGGGGGGGGGGGGAAAAAAAAAAAAAAAAAAAAAATAAAAAAAAAAAAAAAAAAAAAAAAAAAAAAAAAAAAAAAAAAAAAAAGGGGGGGGGGGGGGGGGGGGGGGGGGGGGTAGAAAAAAAAAAAAATAAATATGGGGGGGGGGGGGGGGGGTAATAAAAAAAAAAAAAAAAATAAAAAACCCCCCCCAGTGTCAATGTAGGTTGTTGTGAATGCATACAGTATCTGGACGCAGTGTTATGAAAATGATGTATGTGATGTTGTAGTCGTTCATCCCAACAGTTGTGTTGCTGCCCCTGAGGTTCCAAAATGAATATCGATCATGTTCCATGAGTCAGTGTTGAACAGAAACTCCAAAACGTCGCACCACATATGGCGAGTGTGATGGGACCTGGCACCTGCTGTGCACTGCCCGTGAGCCCGTTCCCACAAAAAAGCGCTTTGCCATATCACTGCCATCGCTGTGGTGAATGAGACAAAACAAATAGCCATGCAAAATTACGCAGCGCAAGGTCTGCCACAGATTTACGGAGATATAGATGGGTTACACATTAAGTAATTAAGTAAGCCAGGTGTACAGTATTTGTATATAGCGCCTTCACTTTAAAACAAAACAAAAAACATACAGATGAAAATAATACACAAGTCAGATTTAAAAATGAAGAAACAGAAGAGGGTCGTCATAATAATCTGATTTATTCAAAATTTGCGTGTTTCCATTAGTTTTTCTGATGCGCAAATTCAAAATTAGAAACATAATGCTCAATGAAAACGCAGCTTATAATTTTGCCAGAGTGGGAATATGTTTATTATTGTCCAAATCTTGCATTTAATGCATGTTTTGGCGTGTTGTATTGAAGGTTGAAATGAGCGTACACATATACACCACCTATTGACTTGGCGTATATTTTGTGCGTACCGTACGCTCACGCCCAAATAGAAAAGTGTAAAAATGTTGCGTACGGCTCATTTACACCCTGATTTTCATAAAGTTCCATAAATGAGGCCCAATGTGAGCTTTTGAGTTAATAAGGTGTAGAGACAGGGACAAAGAACTGTTTTAAATATTGCGGACAACTATAATAAATACCTTTAAATAATACGTTTATCCAGAGTAGGAGACATCTACAGTAATGTTGGGATGAAGCATGTCTCTCTCTATGTCTCTCTCACATGTCTCTCTCTCTGTCCCTTTCTCATGTCTCTCTGTCAAATGTCTCTCTCATCTCTGTCTCTCTCTCATGTCTTTCTCTCAAGTATATATCTCACATGTCTCTATCCCACATGTCTTTCTCTGTCTCTCTCATGTCTCTCTCTCTGTCCCTTTCTCATGTCTCTCTGTCAAATGTCTCTCTCATGTCTGTCTCTCTCACTTGTCTCCTCACAGTCTCTCTCTCATGTCTTTCTCTCAAGTGTATATATCTCACATGTCTCTCAAACATTTCTCTCTCACACATTTCTGTCTCTCATGTCTCTCTCTGTCTCGTATGTCTCTCTCTCATGTCCCTCTCTCACAGTTCTCTCTCTCACATGTCCCTTTTTCTCATGTCTCTCTCTCACACATGTGTCTGTTTGTCTCTCTCATGTATCTCTGTCTCTCTCTATCCTACATGTCTCTCACGTGTCTTTCCCTCTATTTCTCTCTCACATGTCTCTCTCGGTCTCTCTCACATGTCTTGCTCTCTTTCTCTCTCACTCATGTCTCTTTCTCCCTTTTCTCTCATGTCTGTCTCTTTCACATGTCTCCTCTCTGTCTCTCATCTCACTCTCACCTGTCTCTGTCTCTCTCTCTCACATATATCTCTCTCATGTCTTTCTCACAAGTATCTATCTCCCATGTCTCTTATTTCTCTCACACACACGTCTTGCAGTATCTCTCACACGTCTCTCTCTCTCATCTCTGTCTCTCTCCCTTTTCTCACATTTCTCTCTCATGTCATCCTCACAAATATCAATCTCACATGTCTCTCTCACATGTCTCACTTTCATGTCTCTCACATGTCTCTGCCTCTCTGTTTTTCTCTCACATGTCCCTTTCTCTCATGTCTCCCTCCCATGTCTCAATCTCACATGTCTCTCTTTCTCTGTCTCTCTCTCCTCTCTCATATCTCTTTGTCACATGTCTTTTTCATGTATCTCTGTCTCTCACTGAATTTCTCTCTGTCTCTCTCTTACATGTCTCTGTTTCTCTCTCATATTTCTCTTTATGTCTCTCTCTCACCTGTCTCTTTCTCTCTCACACACACATCTCTCCCTCACATGTCTCTCTTTCTCTGTCTCTCTCACGTCTCTCTCTCCTCCTCTCTCATGTCTCTCTGTATTTCTCTTTCATGTATCTGTCTCTCACTGAATTTCTCTCTGTCTCTCTCTTACATGTCTCTCTGGTTCTCTCTCGCATGTCTCTTTCTGTCACTCTCACATGTCTCTCTCTCTTTGTCTGCAGAGCCCCCCTGACATACCGGTCCACCATGACCCTGAACGAGCCTGTAGATGGCGTGGCAAGCCCAGGCACCTCCCACTCCCTGCGCTCCTTCTCCCACTCACTGAAAGTGCTGCCTCTCACCAGCAGTGGGCGCTGCAGCAGCCCTCAGCCTCAGAACCTTAACCTACGGCAGCGTGCAGACTCCACAGTCCCAGAGCGCTCGAGCTCGCCGCTGCCCCCCCTGCTGACATCGCACTCCTCCTCCGACCTGCTCAGACTGTGTAACGGGAAACCCCTGCGTGCCGCACGCTCTAGCAGCTCCTCTGCGCCCCCCGTACCCCCCAAACCCACCAGTCTCCCGCCGCCTGCGTTCTCGCTGTCCCTCCCCAAAAAGCACCTGCAGAAGCCGCACAAAAACACGGCACCGTTACCACAGTCTCTACAGCCAGATGACTGCCCCGAGCACCAGGGCGAGCAGCCAGCGGCAGCACGCCGCTCTTCTCTGCATCGCTCTAAGTCTGATCTATCGGACCGTTACGCACGCGCTGGAGCCGACGTGGAGCGCTTCTTTAACTTCTGCGGCCTTGACCCAGAGGAGCTGGAGGCCGTGGGCCCCGAGAGCTTTGCCCGTGCAAACTCTGACATTGTCTCGTTGAACTTCAAGTCGGCGTCCATGATCTCGTCAGACTGCGAACGGTCGCGGAGGTCTTCAAATGACGGCCTTTCAGACGCTGATGACGAGGACGAGGGCGAGGAGGAGACCGGCGAGCGCGTTCCCTATGGCATCTCAGCAGTGGAGAGAAACGCACGGGTCATCAAGTGGCTCTACAGCATCAGGCAGGCCAAGGACAGTCACAAAGACAGCCACAAAGACAGCCACAAGGTGTCCCACGTTTGAGAACCCTATGCAAGGGAGCAAGGGATTGCAATGACTTGAATTCAGGTTGTATTACAGATTGTTATGTTTGTAGTAATATCAGACTGACGGAATGTATTGAAAACCAAACATGAATCAATTCTAAAAGTAGAGATTTCTCATGAACAACACATAAAGCCAGGGACTGAAATATAGTTAAAATGTTGAAAATCCTGAATTCAAGTCATAGCATCTGCTCTAGAGACAATTTCATCAGATTACGAGTTGCACAAGTTGTACATGGATTTGAAAAAACAGAACAATATGAAGGACAATGAACTGAGACTGGACCCAGAGTTCAGACGGACCGGGTCAAATGCACTATGATTGTTACATAGTCTGTCTCTTCAAAAGAGAGCTATAGCTCATTAAAGGAGCTATACCCGTTTCTGCAAGGTTTGAATGTTTAGCACCGCCCCTCAACTCGCTCACAGGCTTCTCATTTCCTCTACGCTCTTCTGCCACGGGCCATCTAGTTTTATTTGCGATCTGATACATATGCAAACATTAGCATGAGTGCAACTTCTTGTAAGCTGTACAACAATCACTGATGAATTGGTACAAAAGCAACACACTGCTAACAAAATATACAACTGAAAGATTACTGCTAGTTTCACGTCCAAATGTAGTTCGAGCATAGATAGTTCGAGACGGTCCTGCACCCACAGGTATCTCCCATAGACTGTAAATCTCTCCATAGGATATTGTGTAAGCTAGCTATGTTCACCCGGGCTTGATTTCTTCTTTTTTTCACTTTAGTTCCCTCTTCTCTTCCTCACTGTTGTGTCGTTTGGGCTGTTTTTCTGTGTATTAAGTTACAGCAAGAAGAGTTATAGCCAATTGTGCTGACATGCTAATGTTTGCAGAATTGGCTTGAATTCATTCACAAGCTGAATCTATGAGCTCAAGTTTTCAATTAAATTACGGATTATATCCACAATTGTATGTAGTAATAAGCATTTTTATGAACTCATAAAACAAAAATCGGGTATAGCTTCTTTAATGTGTGTGTGTGTGTGTGTGTGTGTGTGTCTGCGCGTGTATGTGTGTGTGTGTTCGTTCATGGCCTTTAAAACAGTGGACATTTATGTGTTTGTCCAAACACATAAATAGAAACACGTCAGGAGAGAGGGCTGTAGCTCTGGGGGCGCGATGTTTGTGGCGGCCATCTTAGGTGTTAGAGGTCAAACAGACACACCGACTCACAGATACACCTTTGTTCGAGGTGTCCTTGAACAGAGGTCAAACAGGCAGACACACAATCCTCACAGAACTGAAGTTATGGCCAAGTGCAGCGCTTTTCAACTGTATCTATACCCCCAGTTTAAAGATACAGTACACCATATTATCATTAGCCTATTGCCTTCACAATGGTGAATGCAAGGGGTGGCGGTCCATGATGGGCGCGTCAGCTCACCACAACGTGACGGTTGCGTGCAAAACTTCAAACGCTTTAAAATTATGTATCAGGTGCCATTGAAACCTATGTTGTTTTTGCTCGAGACATAAAAAAAAAATCCTTTTTAGGCCCGAAACCCGAACGGGGAAAGGGCCTATTGTTTTTGCTCGAGAGATGTCAAATTCTGCACTTTGAGCCTTAATTTGACCCCCTGAACATGCATGAAAAGTTGTAACATTTTGCCCAAACATCAGACCTGGTGAAAAATTAGATATTTTGGGGTTTATTTCGTATGGGACTAAAAAAATGCCAGAACAGCGCCACCTACAACAGCCAATGACAGTTTTAGAGGTCAAGTTTGTCGTAGAGCCATGAAATTCGGTACACATGTTCCTCAAGTAAAGATGAGAATTTTTTTTATCATGGCCCCGCCCTCTGACAAACAGGAAGCTCATAAATTTCACTGCAAAATATAAAAATGATCCGCAATCATTTTCTTACATGTCGGTTCAATCGCTCCACATCATCTCAACACATGTACCTTGGCTCATTAACGCCCCCTACAGACTATTTCAGAGTTTTTAGTATGAAAAACTCAGACCCCATCTGTAGGGGGCGCTAATGAGCCAAGTTCTTTTATTTCACTTTCAATTGACCTAGACCCTAGAGTTGAAAAATGTATTAAAGTTTTGTGCTAATCAGACTTTGTGTGCGCAAACGAGAGCAAATTTAATATTGGCCAAAAAAAGGTCACATTTTGCCGCTCCCCTGTTCAAACAGCGTTTCACTGATGAAAAATCGCAGAGTTAATTTTCAAGGTACATGTGTTGAGATGATGTGGAGCGATTTTGAGGCGAATCGGTGAAACGGCCGAGGAGGAGTTGCTTTCCAACTGACATGTATGAAAATTATTGTTCATTTTTCCATTTTGCAGTGAAATTTATGGGCTTCTTGTTTGTCAGAGGGCGGGGCCATAATAAAAATGTTTTCATGTCTTGACCTGAGGAACATGTGAACCGAATTTCATGGCTCTACGACAAACTTGACCAGCAAAAAATACCATGGGGGTATTATTGGCCCGAGCCCCGAACGGGGAAAAAAGGGCCTGTTGTTTTTGCTCGAGAGATGTCAAATTCTGCACTTTCAGCCTAAATTTGACCCCCTGAACATGCATGAAAAGTTGTAAAATTTTGCCCAAACATCATTTTTATGGGACTAAAAAAATGCCAGAATAGTGCCACCTGCAACAGGCAATGGGAGTTTCAGAGGTCAAGTTTGTCGTAGAGCCATGAAATTCGGTACACATGTTCCTCAAGTCAAGATAAGAAAAAAATGTTACCATGGCCCCGCCCTCTGACAAACAGGAAGCCCATACATTTCACTGAAAAATGGAAAAATGATCTGCAATAATTTTCATACATGTCGGTTGGAAATCTTCTCCTCCTCGGCCGTTTCACCGATTTGCCTCAAAATCGCTCCACATCATCTAGCAAAAGAAGAATGACTAACATTCGTATATTGCTACGGTAACAAATCATCACACGGCGGCGCCACCTCCTTTGTGCGGTACGGTGTGGTGCGGCGAAGTGCGGGGTGTTGTGGAGCGGCGCATTGCGGCTTGGTGCGGATCCGCTTGGCGTGGCGCGGGGTGGTGGGTGTGGCACAAGGTTGTGTGCACGGTGCAGGGATTGTGCGCGGTGCGGGGTGTCGCGCGGATGCGGCGAGGGCCGTTTGACGCTGCTTGCGGCTTTAATTTCTTTCTTTTTTCTTCTGCGCCGTTTGCCTTAATTTGACCCCCTGAACATGCATGAAAAGTTGTTACATTTTGCCCAAAAATAAGACCTGGCGAAAACTTGATTATTTTGGTGTTTATTTTTATGGGACTCAAAAAATGCCAGAACAGCGCCACCTACAACAGCCAAAATAATACCCCTATGGGAGTTTTGAAGATCAAGTTTTTCGTAGAGCCATGAATTTCAGCACACATGTTCCTCAAGTCAAGACAAGAAAAAAAATATTATTATGGCCCCGCCCTCTGACCAACAGGAAGCCCATAAATTTCACTGCAAAATGGAAAAATGAACAGCAATAATTAACCAATAATGTCGGTTGGAAATCTTCTCCTCCTCGGCCGTTTCACCGATTCGCCTCAAAATCACTCCACATCATCTCTACACATGTACCATCATTCTGATTTCAAAGACTTTTTATCAGTAAGACGTTGTTCAAGCAGCGGAGCGCCAAAAAGTGCCGTTTTTTTCAGTTTTTGACAATAGAAAAATTGCTTCAGTTTGCACAAACAAAGTCTGATTTGCACAAAACTTGAATCCATGGTTCAACTCTAGGGTCTAAGTCATTTGAAAGTTAAAAATTTGAAATTGGCTCATTAGCGCCACCTACAACAGCCAATTTAAAAACGGCTATGGGAGGGATTTGAGATCAAAATTGTCGTAGAGCCATAACATTTGGGAGACATATTCCTCAAGTCAAGACATGAAAACAAAATTATTATGGCCCTGCCCTCTGACAAACTGGAAGCCCATAAATGTCATTGCAAAATGGAAAAATGAAAAGCAGTCATTTTCATGCATGTCGGTTGGAAAGCGGCGACTCCTCAGTTGTTTCACCGATTGGCCTCAAAATCGCTCCACATCATCTCAACACATGTACCTTCAAAATGATTTCAGGGATTTTAGATCAGTGAAACAATGTGCGAGCAGTGGAGCGGCAAAATGTTACCTTTTTTTGCCATTTTTAACGATCAAAAAATTGCTTTCATTTGCACAAACAAAGTCTGATTTGCACAAAACTTTAATACATTGTTCAACTCTAGGGTCTAGGTCATGTAAAAGTGAAATATTTGAAATCGTCCCATTAGCGCCCCCTACAGACTGAGGCAAAGTTTTGCATTGGAAGCCAAACCAACTCAACTCATCATATTCATTACAATTTCACGAACATTCTTTCATGGCTACGGGACCAAATAATGGTGCGGGGCGTTGTGGCGTGGTACGGTTTGGTACAGGGCGGCGTGGTTTGAGGCGGCGTGGTGCGGGGCGGCTTGGTGCGGGGAGGCGTGATGTGGCGTGGTGCAGTGCGGCGAGGGCCGTTCAACGCCGCTTGCGGCTTTAATTTTAAATTACATCTGTATATTTTATATGTGTCCTCCTTTCCTATTGGGCTTCATTGAGCTAGCGTGTTAGCATTGGTCTAGCGAGTTAGCATCAGGCTAGCACGTTAGCATTGAGCTAGCAGGTTAGCATTGCCCATCTGCATACAGTGTATGCGGCACACAGATAACAGGTCACCGGTACACATCATATCTGACCTTTTATAAACGGCAGTTTAGTGGGAAAATACCCTAAATTAGGCTTTAAAAGGATCTATATGACCCTTGGTCAAGTTGGGAAAAAATCATTCAAATTCAGCAGGTAAAGAGAATGGTTTAGGGTCAGTTTGACCTAAGGGTAGCACAGACACATGAGACGATCAAGCAGATTATCCAATCAGAGTGTAGGTACATGTGATTTGCCAGTTTGTAGGTGACATTTAGCTAGTTTTGGCTCAATCTTTATTTGGTATG